GCAGCCGTAAGCGACCTGTACGCCCGGTTCCTGAAGTTTACATTCAGGCCACCTCCCAGAAAATGTGAGGAAAGCATGAATCCTTGCTGATTTGGCACCGTCTGATGTTGTTGGTGCGCCCCTACGAATTGCGCTGAGGGCTGTTTTTTACATTTGTTGTGTTGCAACGAGCTGTTTAGACGCACAATAAACAACTTTCGTGACATTTAGCAAGCTCCGGACCAATTTGAGAAGTCTCAACGATCCTTCTAATGCCAAAAATTGCCCTGATAAGTTTGAATTGATTGCCGTTAAACCTTTCTTATTGATTTTCTGGATGAGTGGTTGTGCTGTTCCCATACGATTGTTTTATTGAAATATCTCCCTAGCAAGTCCACAGCGCTTCGTCTAAGTACAAACGGCTTGAGCTTTACAATATGAAATTTATTCTTATTTATTGACAAAGCCCTTTTTTTCCCTCTAAACTCACTGTTCAGCAAACAGAAAATAACCTTCCTTCCCCTTACGGTAGATCTGAGTTTCTTCACCCCCACAGCTGATTAGCAATGATTGAATGGAGTCAGTGAGCGAGTGAAACAACTTTATTGACGATCCGGTATGAAGGAGGAAGTGGTAAGTGAAATAAAGTGAGACACTAGCGGTCTCTGGAGTTCCGTAGCAGCAACCTCCTCGCGTCGAACCCGTGGGGGCGCCGCTTTCAGCCGCTGGCGTTCCAGGATTCTAAGCACTTGCTGAACCCCGTGTCTTTAGTTGCCTGGCTCACGGCTGATGATTTCGCTGCTGATGGGCAGTTAGCATTGCTTCTTGAATACTGCCACAGAGACTACTCCTGATAAGCTGTCCACGAAGAGAACCAGCGAGTTGGTGCGTTGGCGCCTACAGTGCCCCAGAGAGAGAGAAATAACATTTATTTATACATCCGGCGTGTAGGAAGTCCCCGGCCTTGCAAGGCGCGGGTGTTCCATGTCTTAAGATTACGGCTATTAGAGTCCGATAATCTCAGAGCCTAGACCTCGAGCATGTTGTGCTCCGACTAGGTGACAGTTACTCGGGTGCCTCCGCACCCGTTAGACGGGTCGTCGGCTCCTTTTCTCCATTGCTTCGCCAAAGCCTCCTCAAGCCACCGGATGGCCTTTACACTGCCTCACACGTGTTCGCCTATCTTGTGGCAGGGCGACGCAGGCCTCTCGTGCACGGGCACGAGCCGCTGGACTGACCTGCGAGTTGTTTGCAAAGAGGTTCGCGTGGAGAACACTTTAGCGGACTCTTCCGTTGTTTAAGATCTACTTTTCTAGGCCCAAGTTTACCTTCAAGTGATCATTGTTCGTGTTTTTCTTGCAATACGCGACAATAGTTCATTTGCTTATCAGAAACCATGAAACCCTCAATGTAGTCTGAAAAATAGAAAGAGAAGGAAAAAGTTTGCTCTCCCGTAATGGAGAGCAGATGTAAGCACGAAATGGCTACTGGCATAGGAGATTGATCGGAAATGATACAGACACAATTTTGAAATCCTCATATGACAGGTTTCCAAGGGCACAGGCCAAACCACCCAACTATACTCTTCATACAGGCGCCGTTATTTCATTTTAAAGTATGCGACATGTCTCGGGCGTTGTACCACATTCATTTTATTATCGTGTATGTACATAGCGCCTCGTGCCTCGCTAGCGAAAGGGTTGTACTAATGACCTTATTAGTCATTTCGTGTAATGCGACGCCACTATATGGTAACGAGATGATATGCTGAACGGCAGCGAGTGAAAATAGGTATAAGCTAACAAATATACGCGGGACTTACTTCAGCCCATCACATCACGCTATGTATGTCGCGGGTTCGCTTTATAACGTGCAACTGTGATCGTGGTTGCAATAATCTTCAATGTAGCAGAGCTTTGCAAAAGCGTTGATTGATTAATTGATTGATTGATTGATTGATATGTGGGGTTTATCGTCCCAAAACCACCATATAATTCTGAGAGACGCCGTAGTGAAGGGCTCCGGAAATTTCGACCACCTGGGGTTAATTCTTTAACGTGCACCCAAATCTGAGAACACGGGCCTACAACATTTCCGCCTCCATTGGAAATGCAGCCGCTGCAGCCGGGATTCGATCCCGCGACCTGCTGGTCAGCAGCTGAGTACCTCAGCCACTAGACCACCACGGCGGGGTTTACAAAAGCGTCGGTGTACAGCAGTGGCTATCTACAGCGTAGTGGCATGGCGTCATGATTAGCGGCACGCGCAGTAGTACATTCACAAAGTGCACATGGTGCTAGATGTTTCTGCTATTATTTAATACTTCTTTATCACTTAGGTAATTTAATTTTTTCTTGTGAATTAGCGATGACTACCATTATATGACGTCATATAAGAAAAAAGCTCTGTTCGGAATAAACGTACATATTGATATCTATTGTTTGATTACAACCCAAGGAACGTACACACTGAGTTGGTTGGTTGGTTGGTAAAAACGTCGACTGTGTTTCCGGCAACTTGATGAACCGGACTAAGGTCTCCAACGTCGAGACATCCAAACTTTGCTGACTGGACACATTTTGATCATGCTGGACGGCCAGACTTTGGAGGACGAGCCCTGACCTGTGCCAGGGCCGTCCGAGAGAACATTGACATGAATATCCCTAGTATATGCTTCCGAATCCCACAATACGTGTTTCAGTGAAGCAGGTTGTACGCCAAAGACCTTGCTGGAGCTGTCGCCCGTGCATGATATGCTTCAGGGTAAAATCTGTTATAGAAGTTTAGATAAGAGTCGTCTGTAGCTGTCACACGGTGGTTGTTTGGGTTCTGCATAACTTGTGGTTAAACAAAGTAAAACTGCCGAACCAAGTGGGAAGCCACAGTTATTTCGTTTCAACTGGACACCCTCACCTTGTTTACGACCACCTCGAAGGCTTTATCGTAAATTTCAATTGTGTCACGAGCAGTAGGGCGTGTAATATTGGTAATTTTACTGGAGACTGCAGCCATGTGATTGGGGAACCAGATGATGGGGATGGGGGTTAAGCGAGAATAAATTGTTGTGGTCTGTAGAACTTGGAAAGCATTTGTCGAAATTCCTCTCTTGGGGTATAAATGTACCAGCGAAATTAACCTCCCTGCAGAACAACCTAAATGCGAGAGTCTGGTTAAAAGCGAAGAAAAACAAAGAAAAACAAGGATGGAATGTGGTAGCCTGGGGTCACGCTTTAACATGTGCTGAAAACATTTTTGTCCTCCCATGTTTGAAAGCAATAAAAGCGAGTCTACCATATTGGAACTGAGCCACTCTCAATCTAGTTGGATTATGGAGTATGATATAGGCTTTGAATGACAGTAGAAATATGCGGAGGGCTTTTGTCCGGAGGTTGGAGTTATGCAGGGCCGACAAAGAAAACACACAGATCTGTTGAGTGAGGGAAACAACTTTATTGTCGATCTGGCATAAAGGGGGAAAAGGTAGGGGAACTAAACAAACATTCTAGCGTGCTCGGACGTACCGGAGCAGCAACCTACTCACGTCAAACTCGTGAGGGCACCGCTTTCGACCGCTGGCGTTCCAGGATGCCAAGCACGTGCTGGACCACGACTCTCTGGATGCCTGGCTCATAGTACATGATTTTGCTGCTGATTGCAGTTGACATTGCTTCTTGGTTGGCAAAGAGTTCAGGAGGAGGTATCTCCGTGTGGCTCGTGCCTTCTTGCAGTGTTGGCATATATCTGTGAAGTATACCTCCAGGCAGACGTGCTTTGCCCAGATGGGGGTCTATGGAGCTTGTACTTCCACCGCCGTAGTGTGGCTGCTTCACTGCGTGGTAGGTTTCGGTGAGGCGGTGGGCAGAGGCGTCAGCTCGCTCTGCACCACTGCAGAACGTTGCCGTAGATTGTGATGAAATACTCTCCGTCTTCGGCATCGGGTCGTTCCGATGCTGAGGAATGTGTTGACGAAGTCTCGCGGCCACTTAGCGCGTGTGCCTCCGTATCTGCCTCCTCGTTGCGGTTCGGGCCTGGGTCCATCTCCCCAGCGTGCCGAGGGAACCACTTGACGGTAACGTTAATTTCCGGTTTTGATATAGTTGAACATACCCTTGCGGTGGTTTCATGGACGTTGTTTTGTAGAGAAATTGACTATTGCCAGCTTTGAGTCACTGAGGACCATGCGGCAATCCGGGATCGCCAGTGCCCGTGCGATTGTAAACTCCTCGACTTGCGTGGGCAAGTCACAGATCTGTAGGTAACGACAGACTATGACTTCTTATCGGGTAAATGAATAGTTTCTCCTACTTTGTCTATGACTTCGTAGACAACTAGCGAAGCACACTTGGTTCATTAGTGAAACGTCTGGGCTTTACAGCTTTTCCAAATTCTCGCTTTTGGAGAGCTCTCCAGGTACTTTTTAGAGGCGGATAAACTACCACGGAGACTTGCGCACGCGGAGTCTTATATAGACAAAGTGAAATCAATCGAACAGGCAATTAGACCTGGAAAAGCAAGGAGGTCATTAGTTACTGTTTGCAACTGCACTGAACTAATTGTGACAGAGATTGCAAGGAATTCAATTTGCCAAAAAAATCAGCCTTTAATTCTGTCGATGAGATGACACCGCTGAAGGTCAGTTTGCGTCTACTCGGCAAAGCAGCAATTGAGCACCATAGCATACAGAACACCGCTGCAGTTTCAGTTCACTGTTGTGATTTTATAAATTCCAAAAAAATGCACCAGTGCGTGTGCAGAATAATATTTCTTCGAGCATTTTGCTTGAATAAACGGAAGCTTCGGTGGAGCACCTTTAGTACCAATGGCTTTTGTTCCTTACGTGCGAATGGCACACTCAATTTTTCAAGTGGGCGTTTTTTGGCCTAGTCTGAGTTTTCTTGGAGTCGTATGTAGTCTAAAACGCTCGCACAATACAACGATGAGAAATCGTTCTCCGAACCTTGAAAAGCCTTTTTTGTATCACGACCGCTAGCAAACGAACGATTATTGTTGTGCACATATGCTATAGTCTACGCTTTTTTTTTAGCTCTAGTAGTAGCGGTGTTTTTCTAGACACCTGCGGCGCACGCTAAGTGCACCCACCAGTTGTACTAAATAGGTGCAGGAGAAGCTCAGTGCAAATGAAAATTTAATTCTAGAGCAGTGTTTCCTCATTGCGTAGATAAAAATGATGTTCTGCGGTTGCACAGCACTGTTCCTGATTTCAACTCTACTCTGGACATCATGTAAGTCTGAAGAAAAAAAGTGGCACTATGAGTTCCTCCAGCAAAGGTAAGCAATAAACTGATAATCAATAATTATGAAAGAAACTTAAAGAGATAACAACTAATTACGACCACTTTTGAAGTTTTTAGGTGTGCTCCGTTCTGGTATCTCATAATCGACCGAAATTTCTCGAAGGCAGCGCAGATATGAGCAAGCTGCATTGCATACTGAGTTTACATATGGTAAAAGCGCCTTACGGCATGATATTTGTAGAATAGTCACGTGACATCCTGAGATTAATGAGCTGCACTGGCGTGTACTGGATAGTACAAGTTACCACACCAGATTTAGGTGCGCGGTTCCTCTTCAGTGAAACCCCTCATCAGCAATACATGCCAATGGTAAATTTTTCACCACAGTCTTTGGAAAATGGTGGAAGATGCTGATATCGATGTTGTGTTGCTTTCTAAGGGTCTTCATTTTTTGTGAAATGTTCAAAGAGAAGTGTGTATTTTTATTCGAGTACGCTACATTCAAATGCGACTTCTACTCGTGGATTTTTTTCTATCTGTTACTACAGTAAAAATAATGGCTCATTGATGATCAATAGACAATAACTCGCACTGTTCAAGACTTATTTGTAACCCCACCCCGAATTTGTATTGCATGTAGTGATCAGCACCTAATCTCCATCTACTGGTATGCAAAAATACACCCACAAAATTGTTCCCCCGCAGAACCGCACTCCACAGCTCCTAAATAAGAAAACAGCACATACAGCAGAAGATGAGAGTTTTATATTACGGTCACACAATTGACGCCAGATCATGGACGGACGAAAACAGCGGTAATGTCTGAGTACGCGCCTTTCAGACTTTATTTGAAATTGACTGGTATGAGAAATTTTTAAAGTTTCATATGAAGGCAATGGTAGTTTAGTTAAAGAAAAGGAACCGAAAGCTGTAAAAAAATGTGCGTGCCCCAGTCAATTCTTACATGCGCGAGAATTTCTGCATGTCCGCCTCATGGCAACAGTGGCTAGGGTGTTTGGCTACTGACCCTATATTTGCGGGTTCGATTCTGAACGTAGCGGTTCAATACGTTGGAGGTGAGAGGGTAGAGAACCGTGTACTCGGCGATTTCAGTGCGTGTTAGAACAAACACCAGATGGTCAAAATTTCTGTAGCATTCTACTATAGGGCACCTTTCGCAACAACATCGTGCTTTTGGGACGTAAAAATCTAAATATTGGGGCACAGCTCCTCTTCGCCTAAACGCGTAACCGAGAGAAGAAGAGACGAGAAAGAAAAGAAGGCGGTATCTCGCGAACAGTATAATAGACGGTGCTGTCCAATAGAAGTATACAAGCTGCAGTTGAGTGAGGATATTCTAGATGGCGCAGTAGCGCTACTCTTTAATTAGCTGCTGCTCGGGTTGTGCCGGGGTAGGCGGAGAACGAGTGCCTCCCTCAGCCTCCTGGATAGTCGTCGTACGTGGTGGATCGTTGGTGGGACTTGGATGAAGCGGAGCGGCGGGCGCGTTGAAGTCACTTGTGCTCGGCTTCCATAGGCTCGCGTCTCGTCGGTGTTACCCGCGCGCCGTCTGCATTCTCGAACGCGATCGGACGCATGGACGGATGGATGGACGCTTCGCATCACTCATCATTATTCACTCCGTGAATATGCTGTGATTTTTTATTATAATTTCTGCAATGACGCAACTAGCAAGTCATGCGTCCGATTGTCCACCGCTCGTCCTCCACTTGATCATCATGATAAAGAAACCAATTACCAAAACAAAAAGATTTGCTGTGTCTGTTTAGAGCTGGGTATGAACACGGACCTGCACGTTCTCATTGGGGATGTCAACAACTGAGATACTCCACATATTTATTGCAGGGCCGGATTCAAACCCTGCCCCATCAAGACCACGTATTTTATTTTACGCATTTTTTTTATGACGGGGATCTTGTTATATGACCGAGTCACACATGTGGACGAACAAATGGCTCCGTAGGTCGGAGTAAAAATATGAATACGAGCTTAAACTGTGTGGCTGCTGTCGGCCGGCACTTGCGTGTGGGTCACAAAGGTTAACGTCGGGATAATCCAATGAAGTCCCGACGAATACTAGATACATCACCTAGTTTGTACACTTCTTTATTTAGGCCCACGAACTCTCCCGAGAGAGTATAACTAATCCGCAAAGCTATTAACGCATAAAAACTTATCTGCGGCCAATCACGCCATGCCCAAGAGAATACATGGTACTCTTTCTTTTTAGAATATATGTTTTGGTAGTTTTTAATGTCTGTGTATGTGTTAGTACATTCCCAATCGTGTACACATTTGCGCAACTTACCAAGAAGGTACGTCTGCAGCGTTTCACAAGCCGGCCCGTCTATTTCAGCGGAGACCTCCTGCTTCCCGCCACGAACGACAACATACCCAGGGAAGAGCTGAAGAAAATGAGAAACGCTAGCCGTGTGTGGCTGCCGTCCCCATGCGCAAAGTTAAAAGCGTATTCAGGATTTATTCCGGTGGACGACGACAAGAATTCCACCTACTTGTTCTTCTTGCATATCAAGTCGCAGGTAACATGCTTGTATACATAAACGAGCCCAATGACTTACCCCTGTATTCTAGAACGTCCCTTCACTCAACGCTTCACCTTCACTTTAGAAAGCCGATGGGAGCGCCGTCTCTGAGCACGGCAAATCACGGCATATCAGCAATAATCTGCTGCGATTCTTGAGTAGTGCAGCGTCATTTTCATCCGAGCGGTGGCGCAGTGCTCAACTCTGTCGAGTGAAGGGTGTAAGTCGAGTCGAGGAGCGTTTGTGAATACGGTGGTTAGTATTAGAAGCACAGCACTTTTAGGCGTATGCATAGGTGGGCGAACGGGGAGCAGTTGACTCGATCGATGATGAATTGATATGTTGGGTTTAACGCCCCAAAACTAACATATGATCATAAATCAGGGCTGCGGAAATTTCAACTACCTGGGGTTCTTTCCCGTGCACCGATATCTGAGCACACGGGCCTACCGCATTTTTTCCTCAATAAAAAAAAGCAGCAGCCGGTGCCGGGATTTGATCCCGCGACCTGTGCAGCTGAGTAGCTTAGCCACTAGGCCACAACGGTGGAGCTGCAGTTGACTTGAGTTACCCCGTGCAATTTAGGTATAGTAAATTAAATATAGTTCAGAGGAATGCTCACACAATTTTCACAATTATTAGTTGCACTCTTTTATTTATGTGTGAATAAACTTTTCCCATGAACCAGTAGCTGCGCCTAATACGAATGAATGCAGTGGTGAATTACCATGTTCCCATACCATGACTGAGAGTATTCGCAACACTCTATTGCTGTGTCTCGGAAACAGTTGGCGGGAGCCTCACATTGCAATAATAGAAAATATGTGGACGCTACAATTGCATTATTACCGTCCCCAAGACATTTCGTTCTGTACGAAGTTGAAGCTGTGGTAACGCTACCCCGCGTATCATATATTCTATGTGTGAATTAATGTGCGCGAATGCACCCAACCATATCAGCTCAGGCGGACAGAAAAGGCGCCAGCCATCTTTCGTCATGTGAAATGACCATAGAATTGAGAGAAAAGGCGACCTCTTTTATTCGAATCTGGGGAACTTGAAAGGGAAGGGGCCATGTGCCACTCTAGTTGTAGATGCGTATTTTGGTCTATCAAGCACGGTCAGCGCTCCCTGCTTTGACAGGTTTGAACAAGTGGCTCTTACCTTTGTGCATGTCGTCTTCTCCCGGATCACATTGTCTTAGCAATAAATAATCAGCAATCTGATCATTCAAGATAACATGCCTTTTAAGTCAACACATTGTTAAACAGTGCTAGGGGGACTGCATATTCTATTGATTCAACATCTAATCACAATCCGTGGCTTTCTAACCGTTTGCCTCGCTCTTCCCCACATATGGACAGCTACGCTCTTCAGCAGCAGTAGAGCTTTACTTCCTGAACATTCACGCAAAGTTTGTGCTATTGAAAATTACACCATGTACAACAGTTTGCTCACAAAGTGCGCAGCTAAGTTTACTACTAGATTAACTCGCCCGCTTGGCTACTGCGCCATGTTTAAGATTTTTTAGTGGTTTTTCTTTAGAGACACAAAGAAGAAGTTTTTTTTATCCCATCCTTCATATTTCCTTTTGTACAGGTCAACTCCAAATTCAAGCCTCTTTTGGTGTGGATGCAAGGTGGACCCGGAAAGTCTGCGTTATTTGGCCAGTTTCTCGAAAATGGCCCTCTGGGAATAGATGCCACCGGAAATTTGTTCCGCAGAAGACCAGCTATTTTATCGGATTTCAACGTCGTGTACCTAGACACACCGGCAGGGTCGGGGTACAGCTTCGACACTACGGGAACGTACCCCTCCACGCTCGAGGAATCGTCAGTACACGCCATCAGATTTCTGAGGAGATTTTTGCGAATATTTCCCGAGTACCACAACAGGGAGTTCTTCATCGCTGGAGAATCGTACGGAGGTAAATAAATATTTATTGTTTATTAATATTACATCAACAACACGGACACTCTCTTGAAGCTTTCAGCATTGGCGCCCTTATGAGGTTGCGTATGAAGTCCAAATCAGTATATACCATTGCCCCATGCGTCGAATATATGTTCTATGGGTGAGTGACGGCATGCGAGAACGCCTAGGTATGCTTATCGAGTAGAGGGGAACTGCGCCGGCCATCTTTCGTACCACGAGAGACCCAAAGAGAGACGTGTCGGAGATGGCACTGTGTGGCTCCGGCAGCTAAAGCCTAGCACGCTCGACCAGCTCTGGTGACCCGCTGTGACACGCGTATCTATTGAGGGCAACAGCAGATGGCTCCCAACTCTGTACGTGTGCTTTCATCGGAAGTGGGCGTTGAAGCCATAAACACGTGAAGGTTATACGCTCACTGCTGCGAACGTGTTTACCAATCAGCGAGCTGATTGGTAAACACGTTCCTCCATATAACGTGGTAATTAGTTGCTATTGAAGACTCGGCGAGCAAATCACTCATGAAGAATGCGTACTAGAGTTGAAACGGGAATGTGCCTGTGAGCTTTGCTGATCACCCACATTCACAGAGTGCAATGGTTGAGAGTTTTTGTCTAGTCTTGTCTCTTTTTGTCTCAAGGTTTGTTCAGCCCCTTCTTTATTTCAGTGATTTCTTTAACGAGTTGTGCACATTAGTAAAACTTTGCCAGAAGCGTCTTTCCAGCAGTTATGATTGGACAGCTACTTCAAGGGCTTGATCAATATTGGAGATGATTTAGTTACAGTTTTAATTTAAACCAAGGCTTTGGTTTGAGGCTGTAGGTGAAGCTGATAGATTCTAGCTGTTCCTCCGGTATACTCGCATGTATCATGGTCGTCGGAAGACAGGCGAGGCTTTAAATGGAGTCAAGAATATTGCCTGTCGTGGTTATCTCGTTATTATTCACCAAAAAAGTAGATTCCGTCAGGCCATTCTTGAAAATACACATGATCATTCCACTGAACCCGGAGCACTGGCACTTGGCAACCTCGCATTGCGGGTCATTGCAGAGACATGGAAGACAATTTTGTCAGAAGATATTTCGCCACGCTGAGGTCATTCTCGATGAGTTTGTCTATGGGAACGCGAAGATTATTCAGGCCCTGGTTCACGAGGAAGCAATAGAAAGGCAGTAACATGGCATCATTTGGCAGTATCGCAGGTAATCAATACGCTTTCTAATTTGTACAGATAGAGCCCGCGATGGCAGTTTAGTGCACAGTGATGCATTAGATGAGCGAATGGACAGGGAAATTTTATTATGCAGAAGAAGCTTCTCGAAGAGGAAGACATAACGGTATGGTAAACACAGATGGCATCCTTAACTTTCTTCGGACAGTCTTGCCGGCCCCTTGATGTCGACGACTGTCATGATTGGATTACTTGGCATTTCCAGCCAAAATTTTATGGGAACTTAAGCCAGCCGTTGGCTTTTCACTTTTGTGGCATTAACAAATGTGACTTTGAACCTTCGATGTATCATAATGTTCCTGAACAATCTACGTGTGCCTCTGTAGGATAGTCAAAGCTGATTACGAGGTTGCCACTGCTCATCATGGTGACAAGATGTCTGTGGCTGCCAGGCTTGAAGCGTATGTAAGAGCATTCTTTGCATGCCTCAGTGAGGCGTGACTCTCTCTTTTGGCCGTCGACCTGGAGAACAGACCACATAAAGAAGGGACTCAAGTTGACGAGGTTTCTGGAATCTCAATTTCTTGTGGAGATGGTCGTTCACTTTAGTCTGGCCAGTCACCAACCACAGCACGAGGTTTCATGATGGGAGTAAATTTTCTTGTGTTGGATGCCATGTCGAGAGAAAGACGAATCCCAACATGCAAACAAAAAAACTGTTTATTCGACTAGCCGTAGCATCGGATGAGCATTCTGACGCAACGCTCGTCTCAGTTAGCGAAGTAATAATGATGATCCTTCAAGCTTGGCAGCTTGGTTATGTAGCCACCACCGTTGACGTAATCCCCAATGACGCTGAAGTGGCGCTGTCACAGATCGGGGTCGTTGTGAAGCGTGCTGCATTGTCACGCCGGGATAGAAGGTGACAAACATGATACTACGCCGATCTATGCGCAAAGCGTCTCGCCACACTCCATTTTACTAATGCCTGATCTGACTCACCGGAGAGAGGGTGTGGTTGCGCTCGTTATACTAAACCTAGTCCTCAGCCTGACTGCAAACGTTACGCTAAAAGCGCGCACTGTGCATTTCGCATGCATGAAGGCATGTGTATATAGAGGCTTGTGTTTCTTCGCTAAGGCATCTCGCATGTTAGACAGGATACGAGGTGCTTTCAAAAATTGTTTCAGCACGCGTAAAAACACATGGCAGAGATAATACTGACACATTGCAATGACAATCTGGCTATAGTTTTGGCACTCGCAAAACAATTATACCTCCAATTGTACCGGCCACCCGAAATACTCATAGTTTACATAATTAAACTTTACAGACTACTTATTGTCTTTTTGACAAATATACCCACCGTTGTGGTGGTAGTGAATTAGATGTACTGGCTCACGCCTTGACTTCCATAACTTCACAGCTAGCCAGAGAGCGCTTTAGTCAGGCAGAACAGTGCACGTTGTGCCTTCTAGTTGTGTTAAAATACGTCACTGCACTGAGTAGTACCGAGTTATCGGAAAACCCATTCAGCTCAGTAAAAACGCGTAGATCTTATTCCAGCAGTTGAATGCAGCATGTAAGATGAGTGTTGATTACTCTGGAAATGTGCACTTGAATATAAATATTGCTGCTCTCGTCGGTATATATTTTAAAGAAAAAATAAGAAAATGTTTTCTTTTTTTTTTTGCAGCAAGGTCAGCAATTGGGTTGGCGCACAGAGTGCTATCAAGACCGACGGAGCTGCCTTGCCGTTTGAAGGGTGTGATGCTGGGTGTGGGATTTGTCTTCCCGCTGTTACAGATAATGAACTCGGCTGATTATCTCTACTTTTCGGGCCTCTTGGACGATCGTGGTCGCACTAAGTTTGCAGACAGATTTGAGCAGATCCAACGGCTCGTCGATGAACAGAAGCCTGTTGAAGCCGCGAAGTTGCTGAGCCAAACGGTCCTCAACATGCATCCCGCCGAACATAAATGCTTGTTTGAAGAGCTGACTGGCTTCCAGAGTCACGCAAACATCATAAGGGATCGAATATCCAGAAGGTTTGAGACGTATATGTCGTATGCAAACAGCACGGAGTTTAAAAAGATTATTCACGTTTCGCCTACCAGATCTCTGGATGCCTCAAGGCTTGAAGTTGCTATGGCTTTAATGGAGAAGGACTTCTTCGTCGACAAGACATCAACGTTGGTTCACGTGCTCAACAGTGTTCCTGTGCTTTTTTACACAGCGCAGCTGGACGCCGTATTCCCGTCGGTCAACATGGAACGTTCATTTTGGAACTTGAATTGGAGGGGCACTGACGCGTTCCAGGCAGCTCCTCGGAAACGCTGGTACCATGTAGTAAATGGCCGTAAAGAGCTTATGGGCTACCAGAAGATTGCAGATACCGTTATGTATACCACGTTACTTGTCACTGGTCATCTAGTTTCATTCGATCAATCGGAGATGGTCATCGACCTGTACCACCGGTTCTCAAAGTTTACTGACAAGTTACCTATGGATGTACCCGGCCAGAAATGTGGCAACAGCAGCTTGCCCTGCTGGCCTGTCAGCGTTGTTATATAAGTCTTTGTCACAGAGAACATAAATGTTTACAGCTTCCTCCAAACTGGACGATGTTTTCTTAGGTACAATAAAAAAATTCATCTGCGTTCTCTGAACTTCGCAATGGACGTAACACAATGTACTAACACAACGGGTTGTGAACACCACCTAGGCCTAACACAGTAATATTGGTGGTGAACTCCACTTAAGAGAACTTACACTGTTCGCCCCTGTATCACCTTCCTCAGTGCAGGCTAGCAAGCCGGACAATGCAGCTGCTTAACCTCCCTTCCTTTCCTTGCATTTTTTATCACCCTCTCTTTTCTCTCTCTCTCTCCCAGCTACCAACAATCACATGGTTGACGCCCACACAGCTGCATCGTTCATGGCATAAACCATGATGATCAAAAGCCAATGCGGTCACCACCATTCTCTCGATGGTTCATTTACCCAAACACCAGCACATCCCACTAAAGCCTCAATTCTGATCCCGTACCACGTCACCGTTCTAGAACCAAGCGTAAAATACAATGGAAACATAACGCACTCGTCCAGTCGTTTATCGGGCCCCTGTCATAGTTCGCACACGTACTGCTCCCTCAACTTATGGGTCAACGCGCTCAGCTACAAGTACTCCTAAGAACATTAATAAATTTCCTATAATACTGGATTATGTCAGGACAAACTTGGTGAATGCCGTAGCTGCCGCTGAAAAAATGTGGCCATAGAGCGCCGCTTCCACTGAAATGCGAAAGGAATGATTCCTGCATGGATGAAAGATCATTCATTTCGGCTTATTATTAAAATACCGCTGCAACACTTTTTCAAGGTGGTCGGAAAACGATTCTTATTGGTAGTCGAGGCTCCTGAATGTGTGTGGACCAAACGTTATAGCACAGCATGTGCAAGAAGTTTTCTCAATTGTCTCGCTGGCCGCACGGCAATAAATCATTAGCGATAGTGAACACTGTAAGACATCCAAAGGAGACCAGTGTTATTGAAATAAAAGTTCGTATTATCGCTTGTCTAGAGCGCAAGAAACGTATGCACAAATAACGAGCAAAATATAACTTCTTCATTGAACGATCTCTGTGCATGCAAGTCTCATCATAACAAAAAAAAGGAAGAAATGTTCAATCGGGCACTGTTAGGTGTGCTAACAGATTTTTGTGTTCCTCTTATAGTTTTAAAATCGTAAAACTGAGTGAACCATACGTCCGACAATTTTGGCCTAAGTCTGATTAGACTACGCCCTGAAACGTAGGCTTCATTGAACTGTAGGAATAGTATGAAGGCTATAATTTTGAGTCAAGACAAATACAGAGTGCAGAGAAAGAAGAAAGCAATGATGTCCCTGCCAGTTAGATCAGTGTTTTGTTGCGAAGTGTGGTTGTAGTACGAATCAACAAAGCTAAGAAAGTTGGCCAACATAAAAGAATTGCGTCTTTCCTGTCGCTTTATTGTCCCAAATGGTTATTTGAAGCTACAACAAAAGCTTGTAAGGAAAACAAGCTCACTTGTAGGTGCCGTCGCGTGACGGGTTCTTCTCTGTTAAGCCAATGGTACGGTAGAAAAAAAGGTGATGCCGTTTACAACGGACGTCCTCGTTTTCTTTTGATTCAGTCAAATAGATGCTGTAGGCTTACACAATACCAAACGTATACGTGCGTGAATATGCCTCGACGATATCCATAGGTCTGTTTGATTTCCGTTAATGAATATCTGGTAAGCACCTCATGAACTAAGGGACCATGTAAGTTGGATTAATAAAGAGTGAATGTGAACCAGTTGGTATATGCACCAATAGTTAGGATAACTTCAGGCCTGCGCGGAAAGTGCAGCCCAGTCACAGCGAAAACTGGAAGAGCGCCATTGCTAGAACCCGTTCCAAACTCTCTTAGGGCTACCAATGCAAGTGCGTTTGCAAGATACCAACCGCACTTATAATCGATTTAGTGGCTGATGACGATCAGGAATTATGACCGAGTTATTTGTAATGAGTTGGAAGCATTTAACAACCCACTCAGTACGCACTTCATATTGTGTGACATCTGGTTGCGCAATTCGTACCCTACGACACCTCGTTGCTTTTTACTCTTCTACCACGCTATACTTCATATGTTAACGCGCTTGCTTCCCGACGTAACGCTACCATAGGGCTTCTGTGGAGTAGTTTTGAGCCCCGGAATGGCTCTTTGGCAGAATACTGGACTGCCACGGAGAGGACCAAGTTCCAGCCTCATTCCGTCCTAGGTACTCCTTCTTTGTTTCGCGCGATAGCTGTTACGGACACCAGCGGTGGTTGCGGCGGCGGCGGACAACTACGCGGCACCCTTGCCATGGTGTATATAGCACGTTATATTCTATATGTTAACGTGCTTGCTTCCCGACGTAACGCTAACATACATGGCACCCTTGCCGTGGTCTCATAACAGCTGTCGCTATAGAACGGCGCGATGTTGATACGAACAAGAATTCCCACAGCATCTGCGCTGGTCTGCGTGGATGCTTGGCTTTGTCTCTTTCGCGATGTTTTTATCGTATGATTTCATACTACAATGCAATTTCACTTGCCTCGTGTTGTTAATTTTGACCATCATGTTTGCAAGTGTCGTGTTGCTTATGCGCAAGTAATGTTAGGCTACCAACCCACCCAATTTCGCACCCGTTTTTCCGAATTGACGGTCTTGTCTCTATAGTACACGCGGTATCACGACAGCCTACTGACATCTCGAAAGCGTGCGCGATAAGACGATCCGGACTGCATCAAAGGTGGCTATTGCGAAAAGTATTAGAGCAACAACTTTTTTTACTGGACATTTACTGTTGCATGCTCACTTTTGCATGTTTGCGAGCGACGTTTAATACAACGCATTGTTTTTATTGATCAAAGGTCGTATAAGTGTCTTTTCTAGGATTGTACTCGATGTTAGTCACAGAAAAACATGTATATGTGACGACAATTTTTTGTCATGTCCCGGTCACGCAAAAAGTTCTGGACAATTTATTTTCTCAAATAAAGCGTCTGAAAAAATTCATTCACTTATAAAAATATACATTTTTGGAGCACATCTTGTGAAAAAATTTGACCGTCAAAGTGCTAACGTCCAGGAACTGTCGTACGATTTAGAGAGACGCCGTCATGAAGGGCTTCAAAAGTTGGATCATCTGGGGTTCCTTAATGCGTCTTAAATTAAAATACACGGCATTCAAGAGTCTTCGCCACTTTTTAAAATGCAGCCACCACAACCTCAATTCCATCCCGCAACCGGCGGTTGAGCAATCAAGCGCCTTAACCAGTGCAGCATCGCGGCTAGTAACAATGTGGTCGAGCCCCGTGTGGTACACTGTTGAACCCCGAAATTAACGGGACAACTGTGCGCTATCAGCTCTAGAATGTGCAGCACAACTTCGACGCGTGCGACTGATTTTATCACGAAGAGTACAACAAGATAGCCAGGTCACTCAGGTACTGTGTGAACAAATTACCATCTGTGGCAGCTCAGCCGTGGAAGCGTACCACTGTTAAGCTGCTGGATGCATGTTCAATATGCAGACAATGGTCACCATTGTTACCTCCCCTCTATCCTATACCTTCATGGCTGACGTCTATTCTGAAACATTACAAATACCTCACGAATGAGCGTATGCTCCATTCAAAACAAGCTTTTCGCTACAAGTAACTACGTATGTCATTTTTGTCATCGCATGGGCCTGTTACTGAAGAACAAGAGAAGAAATGACAGAGAAGGAAAGGCAGAGAGGTAACCAGTCCGGAAAAGGCAGTTTGCTACCCTGCACATGGCACATGTGATTAAAAAGTTTGCGGGTATAAATTGGCAGCAGCAAGCACTGGACCGAATTGACTGGCGGAACATGGGAGAAGCCTTTGTCTTACAGTGGACGTAGTCAGACTGATGATGATGATGATGATGACGATGATGATGATGACGACGTTTGAACGTGTACATTGAAAGATGTACCGAAAGTGGCGGAAATAGAGAGAAAACTAACACAAAACCCAGCACACACACAAACGTGCAGCTAGTTAGTTGCGTGTCCGTCACGCTTGCGTAGTACGAGACATCGCTGTCGAAGACGCTTGCCCCGGTTAGTTTTTTTCAGAAACTCTAGAAGTTGTTTGGTGACTATAGTGACAACAGACATTCGTCTATTGTCACTAGTGCACAAAAACAGATACCAGTGACTCTCTCTGAACATCATACACTGGACAGTCACAAAGGATGTGGCAAGTGTCGTATTAAGGTGTTCCATACGTCATCCTTAGCGTAAAAAGCACCTGCAGCCACTGATAAATCAAGATGAGAGAGTGTTTTTCTTTCTCGTGTCCATTACCCTTCCCGCAGAAGCTCTTTCGTGCTGCTTATTTCAACATAACACAGGTGAACAATGTCAGAACAAAGCGCAGATGCTACGTGATATAGCGCTTCTCGTTTTTCGGGCCTAACAGGATTTCGCTGTTATCCCCGCTTGCGCAGTACACAAGAAACTGAAATTAGTTTACTTCACGCGATCTTCTTGCAGTACTGGGCCGACTGGGTGAATGACTGCACGGCAAAACAGAGTAAGGGATCATTCACGATATATATCCCTCATATATCAGTCAATCGAGAGGTTATCTTATCATTACGCCACATGAAAATGCACCGCTGGCATCGCGAACTGTGCGGGAGAAGCTGGCAACGCAATGAGAGGATCACGTGCTCGTTCATTGTATTAGCAGAGGTTGTTTGCAATTACTTTGTCCCGCCACAGTGGTCTTGTGGCTAAGGTACTTGGTTGCCGGCGCGCAGGTCGTGGGATCAAATCACGGCTGCGGCGGCTGCATTTTGGATTGAGGCGAAAATGCTGTAGGCCCCTGCGCTCAGATTTGGGTGCACGTTAAAGAACCCTAGTTGGTCGAAATTTTCGGAGCTCTTTACTACGGCGTCTCTTATAATCATATGGTGGCTTTGGGACGTTAAACCCCACATATCTATATCTATGTTTGGGAGTACTTTATTTGGTAACAGGCCACCTACAGAAAAACCTGCAACAACTGACGTTTTGCCGATTGATGTTTCTGAATTGTCTGCGCCAGACGTCGTATTACTGTCGTCTTAAACTGCCCTATTCCAACCGCCCAATGACGCCATTGACGAACCCACAGAAACATGATATCGCTTGTATTTCTTCTTAAGAAGAATCCTGACATTCATCGCCTGTTGGAAACTTGGGGTGACAGTTATGCTTTTAATGCTTGCCATTTTGTTCAGAAATCATTTGTCACTCAACTTGTCTACGCATCTGACGCCAGCATTCACAGCACGTTTCTAGAGCGCAACGACATTAGCCAGAATGCAAAGTGTGCCAACTCATCACTCAAAGTGTCATAAAAAACACTCCTCGCCGTTAGCGTCCCCGGTGATTGACAGGATAAATCTGGCTACTAAGAAGCACCTTTGCGTCCACTATTTTTGTCGCCACAAATCCTAAGCGAATGACTCATGCTATTCAAGCTAAATTAAATGAACAAAGACTACTAAAAGTCATTATGACCAAAACATGAACTTTAAAATTCAGTTCAATATAACTCGTTTAAAACTGTAACTTCTACAGTGCCAGTAATGTAATGCACTGCACAGCGGTTACAAAAATATTTTAGAACCAATGTTTTAGGGGACGAAACGTACAATGTATAGCTCCAGATATAAGGCTCAAATCAGAGTTTGGTTGAGGAGAGTTTATTTCCTACGCCTCAGATAATGATAGCTGCCTCGGCTATACAGTGATTATGGCACTCGGCTACTGGAAATTTTCCCGAGCAGCATCCGAAACTGATTTTGGGCAGTGTTCTCGTGTACGTATTCAGCGTACAAAGTGCCTAAATATCGCCTTTTATATGTCCGCCCATTGATATATTACGCATATTTCATCTTGAAGATAATTCCACAAAAGGCTTATAGTTTCGTTTTCATGATGTACAACTTTGCTATACCGACTCAGCTCTTGTTATTCTGTGATTACTAAATCTCGCATATTTCACTAAACCTACAATAACATTTAAGTTAAGCTTACCATGGTGCTTCAGAATAAGATGCCCTGTGGAGGCATCCTCTTACGGATGGAATTTACGCAAATACAAATACCTTTATCATTGAAATTTCTGCACTCTGCGTGAGCAAAATATATCCACAGTATAATTATCACTGTGGTTGACGGCTGCAGTTTGTGTACGTTGCGAAGCAGTGTTGAAGGGAAAAGTAAGCTCAGTGAGTAGTTAGAAGTCACGGCTTTGTGTTGGCCACGTAGTGCTTGGTCAGGCAGTGTTGGCTGATATTGCAGGCTCGTCCGTCGAATATTATGGGAAATTGCACTATCCTTGAACGTATCAAAGCACGCCGCATTGAAACTGCTTTTTCTTTGATGTGCGGCTCATAATCCTTCATTAGTTAGTTGGCCTATTCTCTTGGTATGAAGCCGTCAAACGCTGTCGTTCTAGGAAAGCAAGTTCCGACGTAGCAGCAGAATAGCATGCCCTTTGCTACGACAAAACTCGTGCTTTCCAACTTCTATGTAAATGGCCAGAGTTTCGGACACTCGACAATGTCGAACAAACTAGTTTGACCTTTCACTTCTGCCAACACGCTGAGCTGCGAACGATATGCGTTTCCACGCTATACAACATCGTTTGGCTGTCACATCATGTCTTACTATCAGCTGCTTTTCTCGTCTGAAGCCCCCGACCTTTCGATAGTGGTTTTAGTGATGAAGTTCTAGGCCGTGCTGATGCATTGAGACCTGATGCATCGTGCGCGTCTGTAACTTCACCATGAACCACATGATAGCTTGGCTAGTCTTTCTGGTTCTCTTCGTTTCTGCCCGAACGGTTAAAACTCATGATCAGCCCAAGCTTCAACAGGGCCACTGCGCGGATAACAGGTAGGTGAAAATGTTATGTATTCTCAATATTGAGCACCTAGCAAATGAAACTATTTGTCCAATTTACTGAGTTTCTTTTTGTGTGTAAACGTGTTAATTAGTACGCCGATGGGCAGGCTGAATTAAGACAGAAATTCACAAGCCAGCAAATACGCAAAGGCTAATGGAAAAACGGAAACCTAAGACAAGAAAGATTTGTGGGCACGACGTGTCGCTGAAGTGAACGTTTCGTCAAGCGAACTTGTCTTATTGCAGTTGCTGCTTCGAAGAAGACAGTGTTCATCCATTTTCGGTACAGCTGCAAAGTAAGCTTCGTTTTGGCGAAATCTCGTCTAAACGAAAACGTTTCAATTCTATGTTCCAACTCAGATAGGCTTATTGGCATATACTATAGCAAAATAATCATAAAAGTATTATGAAACAAAAATAATTAAAAAATATACAGGGATACTTTCTGTAGATGGATGCATACGTTAGCCACACCTGCTTTCATATATTGACCTGTTCATTGAGACGTAGTTTCAGGCTGTGCGTGTACATGTAATCATTTCACGTGAATAAGTAGTTGGCTGGAAACTATGAGGGTCATTCGCACTCCCGCTTTCTCTCCATTTCATTGCCTTGTTGTGTTCCCCCACAGACAGATTGGCAAGCCAGACATGTATTCCTTCTGAACTGTCTGCTTTTCTCGCCATGAAACGTTCTTCTCGTTATCTCCCTCTTGAGCAGCCGCTTCAAGATACTTTGTCGTGAGCAATACAACCGTATCCGATGGCGAAAAAAACCAGAGCTATTGCTGCCACGTTGAAGTTATCTAATTTACGCATCAGCAACAGAAGTATCTGTACCTAGTATTAGGATGGATGTGAACCATCCTGCAATTTAGCTGTGCATAGAGTCGCTCTACGTCGTTGAAGTTCGCTAAGAAATGCTTCGTATATAATACACGTAAACAAGGCCAGCGCTGAGCGCTACAGCCTATTAGGATTTCACGCTTTTCAGCCACACGGTACATGTGGTTGTCAAGGTAGACGATGCACCCAAGTGAACATATAATAATTTTACTTCCCGTTGCATTGATAGAACGCCTAAGCTATTTGGCTGTTGACCCATGAAGAATTCAGTCTCACTGGCGGTGGTCGAATTGCATTGCGGTGGAGAAGAAGTGCTAAAGCCTGTGCACTCAGTGAAGACGGTGTAAGTTAAGTGACCTCGGGTGATCAAAATTACATATTAACGCGATAGCATTAGAGAGCTCGTGTCCCAGAAATTCCTCCGTCGGCGTCGGCACTGTTGGTTGTGGGCGAAAAAGCGAGAAAGAAGGAAATAAAATGAAGAATAAAATTTCCGCTCCTACTAAGGATTGAACTCGGACCGTTGTCGTGGCAAGCAGGTGCCCTACCACAAAGCTACAATGCTACTTGCAAATGCATCGGGAAGATACACTACATAAATGCCATATAGCGGAAGGAGTCTCCTTAAGGCATTTTGTTCCACAGGTGTCATGACGAAAATGAGCCCATCATATATTTTCATTCATTGCCATGATCTTCTATAGTTATATCCTGGCTTACGCACATAAAGTTACACTATTTGTATTTTTACTAGGTCAACTCTTTATTGGTGAACACACTAGCACTTAGCCAAGAAAGTAATTCCCAGTACAATTATTGCATCGCGCATAATCAGTGAAAATCGGGTCTGTGGACCAACGCATTTGCTATCAATACGTTAGCCATCATAGATTCTGTCGACGCTCCTGTACTTTCAAATTTTTATGGCAGCATTCGCATTGTACGCAAGATGGTCGGCATCCTAGATAACTTGAGTGGATTCCGGCACTTCTATTACGACCAGGCATGTCTTGCGCTAAGCGATTTGAAACACCTTAAATATCAAAATTTGTCATAGTGAAAAGCATGAGTCATGATGTGTATGCATAGGCAACTTCGTCAAAGTAACTTCAATATGTCAGATGAAATTCATCGGAGATCACTGCTCTTTAATGTTTTTCTTTCAGTCACATTGTGTCCATATTCAGACCCAATTGGTCTTTGAATCGTGGGGTTAACATTATGAAAAAGCACTCAACATCGCTCAGAATCTAAAGGCAACCTTGTAAGAACAAATAATATGAACATAAGCCACTTCGGTGCTGACAGCAATGTGAAACAAAGACAATCATGGAATGTCGCGCTCCCCCATGTATGCGAGAATATCGGGACGTCACTTTGTGCCACTGCACTTATTTCTGTATTTTTTTTTTTGCAAATGAAGGCTGCCAACTAAGCACTAACAGATACACATTGCCACGGACATGAAACGAGATTGGACAGTCACTACGTGTATGTGCCATTGTGAAAAAAAAAAAGAGATGACGAAAAGAAAGACTAGACGATGAGGCACAGCAACGGGAAAGTCTGCAGGGCCGTGCAAAGTTTCATTGTACAGTCGAAGAGATTCACTCAATAACGTCCATTTCATAATGTTCTCAGTTAACCAATGAAGACTACTGAAACATTTTCTTTGATATCAATCATTTACTGCTCATTTAGTAGGAACTAATTCATCCAAACTTTTGTCAGGAATAATTTACCAAAAATCAATATTTCTGTTAGTATTCTTTTCGCTAGTATATATATATATACATAAATATATTATATATATATATATATATATATATATATATATATATATATATATATATATATATATATATATATATATATATATATATATATATATATATATATATATATAAGGATATCATAGCTGAAATCAAGATGAAGAAATGGACATGGGCAGGGCATGTAGCGCGTAGACAGGATAACCGCTGGTCATTAAGGGTAACTGACTGGATTCCCAGAGAAGGGAAGCGGGTTAGGGGGAGACAGAAGGTTAGGTGGGCAGATGAGATTAAGAAGTTTGCGGGTATAAATTGGCAGCAGCAAGCACAGGACCGGGTTAACTGGCGGAACATGGGAGAGGCCTTTGTCCTGCAGTGGACGTAGTCAGGCTGATGATGATGATGATGATGATATATATTTTCTTTAAGCTACCCGATTCTTGGCCGATTCCCCTTGGTGGGTGTGAGCCACAAGTTTAGGATCTACATCTACATCTACGATGTGCTCGTGTCTCTGGTGATTGGTTCGGCTCGACGTGCAATGCTTCTGTATACAGAGATTCTGTTTTATCCATAGTCACGTGACAATAATGTTGCATATACTTAATTTTTTCAATATATATAGCACCAGCAATCCCCATTATAGAACACGTATTATTTGTGTTAGTTGCGAGGGCAGTTTGTATTACGTTAGTGGCATCGGCGATACTTTTCTTACAAGTTGAAGTAATATTAAAAAAACCAATCGGTTCAGAGGTTCTAAAAGCAGAAGAAAAACTGGTTTCTGACTTAATACCTTTTATTTAAAACAGTTCATTTTCTGTTAGTCTATAATCTAAACTCACACAACCGTAGACACACGCAGCTTCCAAGTGTAATTCGAGGTATATTTAATCTAGCGTTCGTCACGATTTGCCAACAGTTTAAGATTAAACGCTATTAGGACCTGCAAAATGTAAACGTTTTTGCCTAGTAAACTTATCATAAAAGAACGGACCCCTTCAGCGATAAAAATAAACCTTTTCTTGAAACATTTAAAAATTGTGAAAGGGGTTCATTATTGCAGGTTAAAACATTAGTGTAAATGTACATTATTAATGTAAGTGTGCAGCGTTACTCAACAGATATCCTCAGCCTATTTTATGACGTTAGAGATAGAGATCACCTTCGTTGCGTTATTGCTATCAAAGAAGATTATGTCACCACAAATGCAAACGTGTTAATAAAAAGACAAGCGAACCAGGGCTTTTACAGAAAGCGTTATCGTTCATGCTTAACAGTGCACGGACCCATGCCTTGCATTCTGACATGCGAATGAAAGAAAAGAGAAATTGTGCCGAGTAACTTTAGTGCACAACGTTTTCTTTCAGTGAGAACTCCGGCGATCTGATTTTTACGGTACCGGATATAAAAAACAAAACACGTTTGGCAGAAAAGAAGAATAAAAGCCGAGTCTGCCTGCCTGTCCCTTGCGCCGACGTCGAAGCGTACTCCGGATTCATCAAAGTTGACAAAAACAGCAACTCCTCTTTATTTTTTCTGCACATCAAATCACAGGCAAGCTTCTTTTCACAAGCGGTATTAGACTGTATTTAGCACAATTGGTTGAATGTAGCCTTATGCACCACTGATGATCCGGATATATTTTCTGAAGCCAGATGCCAGCACTGACAGTGAAAAAGCATCTTTCCTGCCACGTCTTTATTGCCATCAAACCATGCGTACTTCTTCTGAAAGCTATACGGAATACAACGCATCTGATGTGTAAACTCTTTTGAACTATATTAAAGGTCACTTCTTAAAACGTTGTGTGTAGCATGAACCAGTTCATGCTGCATGAACAAGTTCATGAATAAGTTCAGAGAATCTTAGACGAAGATTTTTCTGAAGCGCTGTAACACTACGCAAACTTTCGAAGCATTCAAGACTTGTCTAATCCTCACTTTAAGTGAGAAATGCTTTGTCAGAAGAGAATCAGCAGATCACTAGCGGGTGATACGTTTATTTCCTGTGGTGCTTAGATAAAGCCGTTTGCCGGTAATTAACGCTCGCTTCCTCAGGGGATCAGTTTTAGGGGCGACGGTCCTTAAGGCGTTGATCACGCGTCTCCTGTATGTAGTAGCCACCTCTCGTTTCAATCTCTGATATGTCCACTGGATGGCGGTACTCGTATATGATGAATATATGATGAAAAGATGCGAGATGGCTGTACTTGGAGTGTTCCCCAGATGGACGGACGGATGAACGAACGGACATACATACATACATACATACATACATACATACATACATACATACATACATGCATGCATGCATGCATGCATCCATACATACATACATACATACATACATACATACATACATACATACATACATACATACATACATACATATATACATACATACATACATACATACATGCATGCATGCATGCATCCATGGATGCATACATACATACATACATACACACATACATACATACATACATACATACATACATACATACATACATACATACATACATACATACATACATACATACATACATACATACATACATACATACATACATACATACATACGGACGGATGGACGAACGGACGGACGCGGCCAGCGGATGATTCACGGTTTGCCGATAAAACCGTTCGAAGCTTCGCCCCACTCATCATCATTCCCTCCGTGAATATGCTGTGATTTTTTTGTCAAAGGAAATAAAGAGTAACAGGTGAGCGGCTCAGCGGACCCACGAGTGAGCGGAAGGCAAATCGTGCATGCATCGCACGCTCAGCCCGCTCATTTCATCCCCTCAACTGAGCGTGCGCGGCGGACCAGCGACCGAGCGTTCTCAGGCAAAGCCTTTGCTCGATCGACAGTAGCTTCGACCGTGTTCAACAGGTGGCACAGCAATGTGCTCCGCTGTCCGTGCTCCAACAATCAGAGCATCGCTCAGCTATTATTCGTCCTGCAAGGGAGTTTCATTCCCCACTACAGTTCTTTCGTCCTGCGCTCCGATCGCTCCTATGCTGCGCCCGCCAGCCCGTTCGGCCGCTAAGCAATTACTCTTTATTATGCCCGAAAGATACATTTTGATGGCGGCACAAATGTGCAGATATAGTACACAAATCGGAGAATTTGTGAACTTTTTTCGCCCAGCGGTGGAGATTCTCTGAAGTTAAAAGATGGGGCGTGCAAGCGAAGTCACTGATATCAAGACACCACAAACACCGACTAGTAACAACTGTAGATAGCTGTGTTTGTAATGCCTTGACCTCTCTTTTGTGTCCGTGTTTACATGCCCAGTATTATAACATAAATACGCAGCAACTAGGTGAAGCGTCTGCTATTCCATGACTATCACAACTGCTTTTTCTGCAATTATTTAATGCGCTTTGCAGAATACTGGTGACAGGCATCCATGGTAAATCAGAAATATAATCAGCGATACCCACAAAACTAACCGCAAAATAAAAGCGATTGTAAATTACATTGTCTTTAGGAAAAGCACAATTTTTTTACCGTGTCTTTACGCACCTCATACAAGCTTCTTTCACTGTCTGATTAAAACATATAGAATAAAAACATATAGCAAACGTAGTGCCTGTATGATTTTTTGTCTGACATGTGATGTACATTGTATGGTGCAGGACATACAGAATGAGCAAATTTTTATATATCTTCTCTGATGTTTGGTCGTTATTTTTTATTTTTATTACTTTATTTTTGGCGATAATAGTGTTATGGTTGCTGTAATTTTTTTGTTTTTGTGGCGTTTTTTGTTGCTCGCATTCATGTAATCTTCTGTGCTATGCTGATATCAGGATGTTTCGTAGTAATGTATATAAACGTTTTCCTTACACCGTATTTGGTAGTGTAATGTTAGCTTATAGTCTTTATTGTTATACACATCTTTGTCGTAGTCCCACCTGCCTTGTATAGGTTTCGCTGGCCTCGTCAAGCTGTCCATAAACAGCTTTTAGCTAGTGAACCTTTCCCGAAGCTGTCTCTTTCTGGTAAATAAAATAATTTGAATTTAAAATTTGAATTTGTCTAAAGGGCCACGCCCGCCTCACATCGCATTCAACAGAACTCAAAGCTCTATCATGTGGTTCATCGGAGGTTTTTAAAGAAGCTTAGTTACATGAGTGCGTGAATACGTCCACGTAAAAACCAGTCAGTCACGAATATATTCTGTGTTGCGTGCAAAGTTAGGGGTAAGATGGTTACTCAAATGCATACCTTTTATACGGTGCTATGCTGCATGTACTTTATAACGCAGGTCTACTGCTACTGCAAGAATGGTGTATCTGCCGCTGTAGCAATGACTGTTACGTTTACTTACGGAAGCCTCGTCAGGGCTTCATGAGGTTTTCATGGTTCCCAAATTGACGGTGTCTAACAAAATACTGCGTAGCGAACAGAATTACGCAAAACAACTGTTACTAGCATGTACCCAGTGTGTTTGCACTTTCGGTGAACTTATAAAAGTGGGAATGTGTATAATTTAGAGTGATAAAGGCAGATATACGTCGTGGGTAATACAACCACAAGACCATCTTTACGCCAGAAGCAAGAACGTTTCAGAATACAAAAGCAGACTATCAAACCAATGCAAACATATAGAGGACGTTATTTGTAATAATTGATTATAAGATATAACAGTCAAAAATTAAAGTGAAGAAAAAGACAACCTGGCATCGGTGGGAAGCGTACCTAAAACCTTCAAATAACGCGTCGAATTGTCTAAAAATCTAGATACGGCCACGGTCATTTTCCCTTACAACCTATCACGTATATCTGTATATCTACGCCTTCGAGACAAATAAGTTCACCACGGCACAACCAATATCTGGTGTAAAAGTATCAGTACACTTCTCTGACTGCGCGCAGCGGAGAACTAAGAAAATAGCTAGACCCAGCAATAGCTGTTTTTAAACAGCTATTGCTGCAATATGAAAAAGCGTCCACATCTCTCAATTTTACGATCGTTTCAGTACGTTACACATAATTAAGTCCATTATTAAGGACACACACAGGATGTTTTTCCAGCAAATTTAGCTGTCTTTCTTAATTTTGTTCGCATGCTTACTTCACAGACTAAAACGTGCATTTACTCCACGCAGGGTGATGCCGATAAAAAGCCCCTCCTTTTGTGGCTCCAAGGTGGTCCCGGGAAATCTTCTCTTTTTGGACAGTTTCTTGAGAATGGACCCCTCGGCATAGACGCTAACGGGAAAACTTTTTACAGGAACCATACAATCGCAGAGTATATGAATTTAATTTATTTAGATCAGCCGAGTGGTTCGGGATACAGCTTCAACAACGGCAGAAATTATACGACTACGCTCGACGATGCGTCCACTCACATCATACGGTTCCTGCGGCGATTTCTTAGAATATTTCCGGAGTACGTCAGAAGAGACTTTTACATCGCTGGAGAGTCATATGGAGGTAATGTATCCATTTGTTTTGCGCTGCATGCCGGTTTTTCTGGAAAAGTGACTGACCAGTTTTGATATCACCACAACTAAAAAACATGATACGTACACAATATAAGCTTTGCTTAAACGTCATGGGTAATATATAATATATAAAAAGAAAAATGTCTCTAGCACCCCACACAGGCAGCAACCTCTTACAAATGCAATCGTCTCTTTATTAAACTAGACACTGACTTGACACTCGGATTCGATGTGTTGCTGGTACTACGAATGAAAAGGCGCTTTGCTACTATGGCTACAATAATCAAACGAGCTCAACTATTTTGTAGGTCAACAAGTTCCTTACATTAATTTGAATCTGATACATCTTGCGGTAAAACGCCTAAACAGGACAATGTTCTTTGCGTTGGCTCAGGCATACGTAAAAAGCTTCGTTATCAGACCTTTCACGCAAAATATTTGCATAAAAGCAATTATAATAAATAGTATTGCTGAAATAACCTGAGTAAAATAAAGAAACAAAGATGTTGTGCTCCAATATTATATTTCTACAGCAGCCATACAAACTAGATTCACGCACATTTTTTTGGCTGCGTTTGGCATAGAATTAGAAAAAAGCTATTCAAAATTTCATGTCTCTCCAAAATTGCGATATTTACGCAGAACCAATCAAACTGATCGCCAGATACGTGTTGTTCTTTAAAGTGCTAGGCATTTAAAAGCAAAACATGTGCAATGAAAATTATGAAATCTTCACAGCCAAACGAATCCTGAGAGTACTAGGGCCCTATAACAATCGCAGGTAGCTTCGACTGCTAATTATTGAACAGCTTGTTCACTTATTCAATCACTTAATCTTTGCCAGGCCTAATTTCGGTGACTAATGGAAATTTTATCATTTTTCTGTCTTACAGCAAGGTTCACAGTGGCGTTGGCGAGCGAAATTTTGAAGAATAATACCTTGGTCCCCCTAAATTTAAGAGGAGTGATGCTAGGCGTCGGATTCTTGTTTCCTGTTCTCGACTTGATCGACTCCACTGATTATCTTTTTTCTTCGGGACTACTTGACCATAATGGCCGAGCGACTTTTGCTAACCAGCTCAAGAATATTAAGGAACTTGTACAAAGACACAAGTATGCCGAGGCTGCTATTTTGCTCAGCCGCACTGTTATGAACTTCAGCGGTGCAAAAAATGAAACATTATTTCAAAGACTTACTGGCTTTAAGCACCAAGGTAGTATCGCAAAGGCTGAAAGGAATGAAGAGATAGCTGCGTATTTCAGCTACGCGAACAGTACTGATTTCAAGAAAGTAATACATGTAGATTCTTCTAGGGTACTCGATGGCACGAGGTATTATGTGGTGATGGCTCTAGCTCTAAACGATCTGTTCAAGGACCACCGGAATTTAGTGGAGTATGTTTTGGATAGAACGCGTGTTCTCTTTTACACGGGGCAGTTTGATGCTGTTTTTCCAGAAATGAATATAGAAAGGTGTTTCAAAGAACTGAAGTGGCGTGGAGCCGCGATGTTCCGCCAAGCGGTACGTGTGTTTTGGCACCGAGAAAACAACAGCTCACTCGAACTCTTCGGGTACGAGAGAATCGCTGGTGCAATAAGGTACGCAAACGTGCTCTTCGGGGGCCACTACATTTCTATGGATCGCTCGTTAGCTGTCAGCGATTTGTATCGTCGCTTTCTCACTTCTCACGATCAGCTTACAACAACAACCGAAATGACTGCATGCTGAAAGGCACTCAGAAACACCAGCAAAAACTGTGTTGAATTTAAAATTTTATCACTCACGAATTCTGCCTTCGCTGAAAACTCTTTTTCTCTCATGAATTTCCCTGCACACTATTATCTGTTATTGTAGGGCTGCTCCACCATCTCGTCAATGCGCAGAGAAACTATATCAGCCTTTCCTGTAAAGTTTGACAATGTTATCGGCGCGTGCAAGACTGAAATCATGTGCAATGTTATAGAATCGCCGCCGTTGTTCGGAACTTGCGCATTGATCTCGGAATTTATGTGCAATTCAGATCAATCATTGTAAATGTAAAATTGCTGCCATACGCTAAACAGTGATAAACACCAGAATGATAATTAGAACTTTAGCAACTGAAAACGAAGCATTATTTATTCGGCTGCTGCTGCTTTCTAGTTGTTATGAGTATTCATGAGGAATAAAAATATTTCTGCATGGTTTATGAAATAAAGGATCTGAAATAAAATTTTCAGTAAACTCGACTTCTTGTACTGTTTCTTTACTACGAGTGTTGAAGATTGGGCGAGTTGGTTCGTCGTACTTGTAGCGCTCTGTCCTCTTGTGTCGGTCTGCTCGGCCGTTTCTTCTTCCCCGTAATGCGCTATACCAGTTCAAGTTTCTTTACTACTTTCACACTCGATGCATAAACCATACCAAATACATTTGAGAAATGAAAAGATCCTTGCAGGCTGAACATGGAGCGACACATTTACCTATAAAGTTTGAAAACTGTCCCATCCTTAATTTGAATAAGTGAAATAATTGGTATCTCTAACATAGATAAGTGTTTCGAGATAAGGCCGATCATAGGCAGATTTTGGATATTCTAAACGTATTCATAAAAAGCTGGTAACATCCTCTCCCTCAATAATTGTAATAATATAAATATCATTTTGTGGCATCACTTTTTCTTACTCCATAGCACGTGATATACACTTCAATCCACAGTCCAGTTTTCTTTTCTCTTCATTTATCTTAGGCTCGTTATATCTCTTTATTCCATTTCTCACTCGTTCGCGTAAGTTTTATATTGACATGTAATATTCATATTCAACATGCTCGTTGCGGTCGTTCTCCTATTTGTACTTTCTGGGACAAAAATGACTGCTAAATCAGTACATATAATAAAAAAAACTATTATGTTCCTCTAATTATGATTACCTCTGCCTCTCAGCACGCCTTGTAACGCCGACCCGGTGATTCACGTGGCGATCTACCAGCGTGAAAGCTGTGAATTGTTCCATAAGCGAGCAATATATATTACCTTTGATCGACCTTGTCTCTCAGATAGTGAGAGAGGTAACATCTAATAGATATCAAAAAGTTACATAAATCTTATGTAAGCAGCTCATTCCTTTTTTTTTCCCGCAAGTAGAGTGTTTGGGTATTTTTGCGGCTATTATGGGCAAATCACTTTGATGTAAGGATGACAACACCGCTGCGACTTAAGCACGGGCACATACGTGACTGTAGAAAGAGGAGAAGGACGTTAGATAAAGAACAGCCACCCGCAGCAAGGGTGCTGTCTCCTGTCTATCTCATTCCTTAAATTACTTAGGGTCGTACTATAGCCAACCATTGTTCTCGAGGCTTACCTTGCCGTGGTCCTTAGACGAAGCCAGGGGCGAGAGATCTCTACGCAATAGCGCCTACAGGGCATGATTAGTGCACATATGGTCCAAGAAAAAATAAAAGGTCACAAAACCATAAAAACATTTGTATTCAAGAACCAAAAATGAAAGGATATCACAAATCGAGGGTCCAAGGGTCCCGCTGCAGTCTTCGGCTATGAGACTCTCGTCTGTATATTTTCTGTAGAAACATTTTTGCGCATGACTAATGATTGACTTTGACTTTGAAAGCAAAAGATTAACAATATCACAATAAAGTAGTTCCTAACCAGAAGTATACAGAAGTTCATAACGCTACGAAAGCGTCAAAGCAGCAACACGTGAAAAAAAAACGAAACATCTTTTAAATGCAAAAAAGGTATCGAAAGACTGTTAATCAGAACAGACAAGATAAAAGCAACACAGTAAAAACACCAAAATTTAGCGAACCATCGATCAAAGCATACAAAAAAAAAACAAAAAGTTAGCAAAAACAAAGAAACAGGCTGTTAACCAGAACAAAATAGAAAGCCACGTTTCCAGATTCGGTGCACATTAGTTCCCCATTAATCAGCATCCACGTCATGAAACTGTCTTAATTTTTTTCTTTTTGGAGTAGCCGTACGTGCTGCCCCGCCGCGGTGGTCCAGTGGCTAAGGTACTCGGCTGCTGACCCGCAGTTCGCGGGATCAAATCCCGGCTGCGGCAGCTGCATTTTCGATAGAGGCGGAAATGTTGTAGGCCCGTGTGCTCAGATTTGGGTGCGCGTTAAAGAACCCCAGACGGTCCGAATTTCCGGAGCCCTTTATTGCGGCGTCTCTCATAACCATATGGTGGTTTTGAGGCGTTAAACCTCGCATATCAATCAAGTCCTACGTGCAGCGGTGTTTAAGCGTGCGTGAACTACCACATTCGAGACTTTGACACAGGTGTCGAAGCTTAGACTTTGAAATAAAATAATTATTGCTACCATAACCTATACATGAATGACCGTAAAGCGCACGCAGAAGCACACATGTAGTATAGCGGACATCCCACCCCGAAAAATAAATTTGTAGCTGCACTAATGTCTTCGGGGGGGGGGGGCGCTGCGACCGTCGAAAGGATCGAACGTGCTTCATCGGCTCCGATTTCTACAAATGATCTCGCAGCGATTTCAACAGTGTTGCACCAGAACTCTTTCAGTAACAGGTCTGTGAAGTCGAGAGGAATCGACGAATTCCCGATTCTGAGTTTCGCCATCATATTTCGAGGAGTTCTTACGTGTGTTACGACCGAGCCGCAGCCACGCTGGGCCCAAGCGTGAACGCCTAACGCTAGGCCTAGTTGGCGCAAGAGCAGAATATAACCGATGGACGCGGTGTAACTTGTGCGGACTTTTTTCAATGCAGTGGCACAAGCCGACGAACGTGACTCAAGAATGCATGAGCAAGTGACAGGAGAAGACATTTCCGCCGACGAAATTACCAAAGACGCCGGAGGTAAGACTGCCGGAAAGAGGTATTAGAGAGCCCGGCAACGCGGGGTGGACTCGTCAACCGACACCATCTTAAGCACCAACAAGCTCGGCATTAGCAAGGTACCAAGCCAAGAATGCCAAAACAAATGGTGCGACGCATGCCCAAGCTACCAAAAGAAGATATCAAGATTATGGTGCGACTGCAAGGTGGCCTCAACATCGTCAACAAAATCATGGCCGCGGTGACTATTGGGGCTCCGACCTCGACATTCGTCAATATGGGCACCCTCATAGTCACCGCAGCCATCTTCACGGCTGCCAGTATGATGGAAGAAGAAAGCGCAGAGGACACGGTCTGTCCGAATCCCCACCAGAACATCGTCGTCGTCAGCATTCCGAAACGAGTAAACGCCGACCATTACGCCAAAATGTGGCAGATATTTATCCAAGGGAAACTCCACGAAGTCAACGGGTATCAAACGGCACCCGATAATACAACCAAGGGAGTGGTTCGAGGCATCCCCCTTGAGGACGCATCCTGAGTTCTAGACCAGAGCATCGTAAACCCAAAAAACCCGTTGGCATTGGCAGCAAAACGCGTAGGCAATACATCCACGGTTGTCATCGCGTTCGACGGACTCAGAGTGCACAAGTTCGTCAGGTATGGCGCAGCACTCATTCTTTGCACTTTATATCGCAAGAAAATAAACATCTGTTACCAATACAGCTGCCTCGGCCACCGTATGGACGTTTGCCCGAATCCTACCAACCGCATCTGCCGGAGCGGCGGCTTCTACAACCCCGACCAACAACACCAGTGCTCGCCCAAGTGTAACCAGTGCGGTGACGCCCATATGACCGCCGACAAGGACTGCAGAGGACAGTACAACACTCCGTACGTGATACGCAGACGCCGATGGGAGCACCGATCAGCAAATAACGAATGGACGCCGCAAGACTATCTGTTCACCGAGACGGCCACATCGAAATCAAGGTCGCAATCGCGTAACCAGTCCCGGTCTCGCAGCAAGACAAGACTCAACCGATCTCCGAGAGGTTCCAGGTCCACGACGCCAGCTCCAGTAGACAAGGTGAGCTGGGCGGACAAGGTCCGGGCCACCGCGCGGGAGGGGGTCGCTAAAACACCTACCGTTCCAGAGCAAACAAATTCGATCGATGCTGCCACTATAGATGAACTAATAAAAGAGAACGTGGTAATGCACGAGCTAGTCCAAAAGCTAACACAAGAGGTGCAAGAACTCAGACGCGAGCGTGCCGTGCCAGCACAAAACAAACATATTGTCACGTCACTCCAGGGGGTGTCGACAAGGTTTACTGACGTCTGAGCAACAGGGCTCGAACCAAGCGCGTTGGTTGGGCTTGTTTGCTAGAGCGGGGGCCCACGTGCACTTCTTTCTTCTCTGTGGTGTGAGCCTTCACCTTGGCATACGACCCACTACTAGAAGTAGGTGGCAATATTCCTCCTCAACAACAAAAAAAGAGCATCGTCCCGATGCTGTAAAGTTATTGAAAAAAAAACCCAAAACAAAGTAGTTTAAACAATGAAAAAGGGCACCAATAATCAAATGTTAGAGGTGATAGGTTCACCAATGATGAGGCAATTGTCGTAGCACAAATAAAAAAACACAGGAAAAGTGGTCTTTTAGGAACGCGCAAAATAAGGCTTCATGCGCACCACGTGAACTATGTCAGAGGTCGGTTGTTTTCGTTGTACCCATCGTGACGACGTAGCGTCCGGAACCACTTCGTAGTTTACGTCACTCACGCGGCGTAATACTTTATACGGGCCGAAGTATCTGTTGAGCAACTTTTCGGAGAGGCCACGGCGTCGAACAGGGGTCCAAATCCAAACTCGGTCTCCCGGTCTGTAAGATACGTCATTGTGACGCATATTGTAACGTCGTCCATCGACCAGTTGCTGCTGACCAATGTGTAGCCGGGCGAGCTGGCGAGTTTACTCGGCACGCTCTGCAAATTCTTCTGCGTCAGTTGTTAATTGATCGGCGCCTTCACAAGGAAGCATCGCATCCAGCATCGTATGAACTTCGCGGTCGTAGAGAAGGCAAAACGGTGTAAATCAGGTTGTTTCTTGAACGGCGGTGTTATAAGCGAACGTCACATAAGGCAAAATGCGATCCCATTATTGTGTTGGACGTCGATGTACACGGAGATCATGTTTGTGACTGTCTTATTTAGTCGCTTGGTTAAGCCATCGCTCTGCGGATTGTAAGCAGTCGTCGTTCGATGCCTAGTGTTACTTAGTCGAAAAACTTCATCAATAAGCTGTGCAGTGAACGCTGTTCCTCTGTCGGTTATCACTGTAGGTGGAGCCCCGTGGCGCAGAACAATGTGGCACATGAAGAACAGTGCTACCTCAGAAGCCGTGGCTCGT